CTTCTTTATTTACTACTCCTATAATTTTTGTGTTGTCTGCAAACTTTATCAGTGATTTTATGTTTTCTTCCAGGTCTTTGATAAAAATGTTAAATAGCTTAGTACCAAGAACCTGTGGGATCTCACTAGAAACATACTCACCTCCATGGTCCCTCCTTCCTTTCAAACCCATCTGTGTGACCACTAGGCAGCTGCAGCATCACAAGTCCACTCGGAGTAGCACAGTATACTCCGAAGTGGATTGGCCCATAGATTTGGGGCTTTAAGGCCACGCCACTTAACTCCTTCAAGATCCTGCAAAATCCTCACTGGACAAGAAAGTTTTAACTCCAGAAAGGGACCGGGCCTATTAAAAAAAATACATCGGTGTGATGGGAGTTCAGAACCAGATAAAGTGATCCACGGGTCCCTGAATCAGTGTGCTTTTGCCACAAGTGTGCTCAAAAACATGGCTTCTGCACTTATACAGTACTGATCTTGGGAAGAGAAAGGGGCAGGTCAGAGACAGGCAAAATGTTATTTAATGGGCTCCTCCAATTTTATGGACGAAGTTAAAAATCACCCTCTACTAGAAATGGCCCTAAAACACAAAGTTCAGATCTGGATCCTAACTTTCTCAAAGTTGCAAGCAGGTTTTGGGTCAGAGCCATGTCTAATCTGTACTACTATGGCCTTTATAATGAATAGCCTCACTGCGGGATCACAGTACTGGTTTCATTCATATTTACATTGCTCTTTTGAAAGACAATGCACATGATTTAAAGAAAGTGTTGGAAACTTTTCAGATTTTGAATATTTTGCCTTTTGTGGTTTACAGCCCGAGTAGACAAATGCTACTTCACCTTCAAGTCATTTAATTTTTATCTGGCTTACTAATAAATGAAAATCAGAGGGACTGCTCATCAGTACTAAATGGAACATACCCATCAGAGGCACTATAGGCAGCCTGTATCTCCCTGAAACCATGTACTGTGTTGTTTCATGACACTCACTCAACCACACACAATAAAGCTCCCTCTTCTCCCTCCCCAGCACCTCCCTTTTACAAAAGCTTACACTCACACATGTAAACAGATGAACAATTGCACTATGTGTCTGGCAGCCTGTAGCTCTCCTTCTGATTCACAAAAGGCACACCCCATTGAAAAGATCCATTTGCAGGGAACTTGAAGCAAGCACACATATTAGCAAAGCCTCATTTCCACTTAACACAAGTTGCTTTGGTTACCAAAGCAGCTCATCTGGGGGGGAGGGCCTTTTTTATTAGTTAAAAAAAAAAAAAAAGGCCAACCAACGACATCTTCCTTCAGAAGCTACAGTGAAGTAATGGTTTGGGAGACCTGAGGATCAGGGGCTAGGAGGTAAATTGTAGGAAGAGCAGGAAAATGGAAAAGAAAACTAGCACATCTTTAATCCAAGAACGGCTCAGATCCCATAATCCACTCCAAGTGAAAAATAAAATGCAGAAGAAAACCAGCCCTTCCACCCAGTTGACATCCAATTAACTCACTGACATACACCATGGAACCTTATGTTCTATACACACAAAAGGGTGCACTATTTCTTTAAGTCCTCCTGACAAGGAATCCAGAAAATGGCAGAAGTTGCCATACAATTTTTATGCATTTTATAATGTAGCTCGTGTTGCCAACGTATTTTCCTTTTTCTAGTACCCCTCCAAAAAATGGTCTTCCACATCTGTCTGAGAAGAAAACTAGATAGGACAAACCCATTGTGACTGCAAAAGAAAGTTGTCCAAATGATTAAAAAGGCCATACAGACGCACTGTCGTTCCCCTGTACTTTATAGCCACCTTTGTCCTTAGCTCAGAAGAGAAGAAGGAGGAGCAGTTACTTACATTGTACAGGGATAGCTCAGTGGTTTGAGCATTAGCTCGCTAAACCCAGGGTTGTGAGTTCAATCCTTGAGGGGGCCATTTAGGGATCTGGGGCAAAAAAAATTGGTCCTGCTAGTGAAGGCAGGGGACTGGACTTGATGACCTTTCAAGGTCCCTTCCAGTTCTATGAGATAGGTATATATTATTATTATAACGTGAGTTCTTCCAGTAGTGTCACTGTAGGTGCTCCACATTAGGAGCCCATGTGCTCTTGATCAGAGATATTTGTCAGCAGCATTTGCAGGTCCTTGCTTGTGCCCTAGAAAACCTTGTGCCCCAATATAAGGGTACATAAGAAGAGGTGAACCACTACTACTTCAGCGCCTTTTCAACAACTAAAGAGGTTATTTATCTTGAACAGTGAACAGTAACTGGAGTTCTTCGAGACGTGCATCTCTATAGGTGCTCCACTAGCTGTCTTCTTTCTCCTCTGCCTCCAAGTCCCTTGCTAGACCTTCATGACTGAGAAAGAACTGGAGTGGGGGCAGCGTCCCCCTTCCCCAGATACCCTTATACTAGGGCACAAGGGTGTCTAGGGCGCAAACATGGACAATTCTAACAAAAATCTCTGATTTTGTGCATGGGTGCACATATCTTGACATGGAGCACCCATAAAGACATGACTTGAAGAAGAACTAGGAGGATACTGGGAAAGGAAAACTATATGGATTACATTGCACCAGGGTTAAAAAAAAACCACACAAATAAAAGACATCACACTGGCCTGAAATAATTGCAGATCCAATATGGTCCATAAAGGGCTAGAAACAAATGAACGTTTTGTATCACTTCTTTTTCTTAGCGTATGCGCAAGGTGCCTCAGGTGGCATGTAACCAGGATTCATCACCCGATTTAGTCTGTTGGTTGGCTCATTAGCTTCCCTGGCCTGGGCCGGGTACTGACAGGGATCACGACATGAAAACTGGGAATATCAGATAGTCAAGATAGGTTGTGAGATCACAGACTCATACAATCATAGAAGATTAGGATTGGAAGAGACCTCAGGAGTCTCTTCCAGGAGGAGATATCAAACATTAGCAGAGCATTAAATTGATTCAACATCTTCCTCTTGCACTAGCTGAATTCTGACATGATTTTTATCACCTGCTATCTGAAGAAAAGTTAGATCTAGAAAGCAATGCTTTTTACCACCTGAAGGCATGGAGGAAACCTAAGCAATCAGATGGCATAAAGTAATAATCTTTAGCAGTTTGCAAAGATTCTTAGTTATTGGACTAGTATGAATGCTTTCAGGACTAGTACAATTTTCCAAGCAATAGCCCTAAATCACTGACCAAAGAGGAAATATGTTGATCCCCAGCACTAAGCCTGTTGATTCCAAAACAAACTTATAAATCAGTGTCCATGGGCCTGCTATGCTCTCCTCCGCTCTGCAGCAAGGAAGGGCGCAAACGTGTGCAAATACCATCCAGATTAGTCCAAGCAATATGAAAAAGAGGGCGGGAAAGGGATACATTGTGCATTTTACCCTTCCCTGCCACGCTGAATGCAGACCCCTGTAATCTCGCTGTAGGATTTTGAGCAGCATAGCTGGATGGGGCAGAGGAACACAGAGGATATGGCAGACGCCAAACACATTTTCCCCTTCAGCAACCTGATGTTCCAAGCTGATGACCTGCTCTTCCATCTTCTCGTTACCGTTCACAGTGCTGTTTTTGTGTGTCTTCTTGGAGCTGAGCAGTAACTGTTTGCAGTGCTGTGGTGCACTGGAAATTCTCCTGAGTGTTAAGGCTGCTCCTTACAACAAGAACGTCAGCTCCATGGCTTTTTAACTCCCCTTTCTGAGAGCTGAGTAATGCTCAGAGATATTAGTGGCAGTCATGCTGCTTGAAGAAGGGGCAGTGAAGGGCAATAGTGCATCAAGATGCAGGCACGCCATAGAGATGTCCCAAGATCTGGGGGGTTGGTGTTGGTATTCCTTGGTGGTTCTCATGCTCTGCACGGGCCTGATACTACATTCCCTGCCCCTTCCACACCATGGCTAACCCTTGCCCCATGAGAGAACATGCAAATTCATCCATGCCCTCAACTTCGCAGGTTTCTTATAGTAATTTTTTGTCTCCAACACCTGTATGCGGAATGGAAGAAACGTTTGGTATTTCTATTCGGAAAGGAGGCCACAGGATTTTTTAATGATTATTTATAGTATTTTCAGGGATCACAGTTTTACAACTGTACCGTATTTTCACCCTTACTCAATACAAAAATGCAGTCATTCCTTTTGAATGCGAGCAAAATAAAGGCCTGGAAAACGAAGAACAAAGATGAAAGATGAGGCTCTTCACTGCAATTCATATTTAACCCCTCTTTATTTAGGAAATGCTAAAACAAAACAACACAAAGTAGCCTGAGTGACAGAAGTGCTGATTTTGCTGTTATTCAAATATTGATGCACCATTCATAGCTCTGGTTCAGAAAGGAGACTTTATTTATTGTTTTAACTGCACCAGTTTAGAATGTCACCAACAAAGCAGTTAAGCCAGCCAAAATATTAAAGATAAAATAAAATTAACAGACCTCTGTAAGAAGTCTGATATTCCAGGTGAAGATTTTTAAAATATATATAATTGAAAGGTACCTATTTAACATAAAAATACTACTGCAGACTGCTGTAAAATCTGATTACTGATGTCAGTTCTATAACAATAAGAGATTGTACAGGCATTTTCCTACAATCCACTATATTTTATACAATACCTTTCTTTTTACAGGATCGTATAATACAGTCTCTGATCCCACAAATACTCATGCATGTGAATAACTTTAAACACGAGAAGCCTCATTGATTCAACTGGGACTAATCATTTGCATGAAGTTAAAACACATGCATACGTGTCTGCTGGATAGTGTTTGCTCGCGTAGTTAATTTCAGAAACAGAAGTACACTACATATTTTTGTTTTTTTCTCTGGATTTGCCATTAAAATCGTATGTTATTTTTACTTACACAGACACACACACACACACTCTCTCTCTCTCTCATCTATCAATGCAGGTTAAAAAGACATCCTGAGATTCAAAAGTTAATAATGATTACATTAATTACAATAGAATTTGTGACAAAACCTTTTCTGTCACTTACCTCAAATCATCTGAGAGTGTTTCAAGATGCAGTTGTAAGTCTCCCTTTTTCCCCTCAGCACACTAGACATTGCAGCACTTTTTTCTGATGTCTTGTATTAAAACTTTTCCATTGTGCTCCAGGATACTTAAATAAAAACAAAACAAGAAACACTCAGAATGAAAATGTCACTTCAAGTGGTTGGTAGGTGGCTCAGGGGAAATCCCTGACCTTTCTCCAATGTATATTTTATTTCCTAAAGCAACTGTGTTAACTACCCAGAGTAGAAGCACTCTGACGACTGTTCTGTAGGTTGCACTTTTTCCCCCCAATTGCCTTAAACAAATGTAAAGTATTTTTAAAAAATCATGTTCTCTGGTACACTATACTGTAATATAGTATGGTCATTAATGAACCAATGAGTACCTCATTCAACAGAATACAAAATTGCATGAGGGAAAGGAAAGAACCACTGTAGCTGCAAATCAGAAAAATGTGTTGTGTTAAATAACAAACTGCTACAGTAGATAATGATCATTCATGATTATTATTTAAGGAAGCTTTATGTGAAGTTTGATTGACTGCCTAAAGATCTACACTGTTCACTTTGTCACATTCATCTTTTTTAATACTAATATGTGGGAAAATATCAGACCAGACAGTAAATACGTACAACAATATTTTGGAATTTACAGAACACAAGACAGACTGGCTGAAGGAGGGAGGAAAGAAGGGTGGGAGGGTGAGTGAATGAGTGAGAGAAACTGTTGACTCTCTGATTTGATACAATTTTGATATTCCCCACAGTCACCAAAAAGGCATGAATGTTTTTGATTTTAAAGTAAGAGATTAAGAGTTACATCAGCGTGCTCAATCTCCTCTTGATTGTCGTAAAACAACAGACCATGTTTACCCTCATGTACAACCATTTATGACAGGGATGCATTTGGTCCAGTATTTAAGGTTTAAGCTGTCTCTTGCAGTATTAAATGACTTAGTGCTTTGAACCAGCACTGAGTTCATTTTCTCTTTGAGAACCCTTCATCCCATTTCGCAATCCCCTTTGGATTCTGGGCATGTTAGTTATTGTTTTATAAACAAGTTTTAGAACTGTATTTGGAATTGCTATACAAAATGTATAGCTAAATCCTCCCCTCAGTTACACCTGTGAAACCCCCACTGAAGTCAAGGAAGTTTCACAATGTGATAGAGGACAGAATTTGAGCTTACGTGTATTTAAGCCAAACTGTTTGTTTGCTTTTTTCTGCTATGTTGGACAGGCAGCGCTGAATAATTTTTTCCATTGTTTTTAATTAAGAAGCGGAGTCATTATCCACATCTCTCTGGGACTGTGCATTCTTCTGCAAACAAAAAGTAACTTTTCCAAAAGTGGTGAGTGATTCAAAAAGTCAAATCAATGATGGTGCATCTCCAGTTGTAAAATATACTGGGAACAAAAACTGATGTACACTTCTACCCCGATATAACACGACCCAATATAACACGAATTCGGATATAACGTGGTAAAGCAGCGCTCTGGGGGGGCGGGGCTGCGTGCACCGGCGGATCAAAGCAAGTTCGATATAACACGGTTTCACCTATAACAAGGTAAGATTTTTTGGCTCCCGAAGACAGCATTATATCGAGGTAGAGGTGTACTAAAGAGAGGGCAGAAGTACCCCTAAACCCCTTACTACTTTTCTGTTAGTATCCGCACAGAAACGACATGCATTTCACCAGTCCCTAAAGCAGTTTACATTACATACAGAACCCCAAACGTCCTGTTTAAGTAACTATAGGCCTTTCCTGCCCCCACTGGTCTCATCTGTGGAGGGCTGATTCACATTGATAAGCATTGATGTGAGTGACTGCACTGACTTCAAGGCGACTACTCTCACTCAGTGTGACTAGGGATTGCACAGTTAGGCCCACTGACCTGTGGGAGCAGGATGAGACCCTTTAAAGCTGAGACCCAAATACTGAAAAGCCTGGAAGTTCAAAGTTAAGGAAGGAAGACAATCTGTCTATGCTTCACCCCACCTTGCAAACATGATTAATTCAAGACAAAATGTAATGGGCACGAGTTACTGGCTATCAGCCTTTACTATGAACTTCCTGGCTTCCCTCTGTGTTTGTGTCACAGTCTTTGTGTTATTTAAACGTAAGGGACGGAAGGTTGTATTTTAAGATCTACAGGAACATAAAATTCTTTTATTCTTACTTTCACCTTTTTCTTTAATTCTTTTAAATAAATAAATAATGTTCATTTAGGGCCAGATTCCCTGCTCTGCCACAGACTCCCTATGTGACCTTGGGCCAGTCACGTAACATAACATCTTCAGAAGTCTCCAAGACTTTCAGTGAGATGCAAGCTCCTAAGACCCAGACCCTCAAAGGTATTTAGATGCCTCATTCTCAAATGGAGTGAGGCATCTAAATACCTTTGAGGATCTGAGCCTTAGTCACTTTTGAAAATGGCAGTTAGGCTCCTAAATCACTTACATACTTTATAAATGTTAACTTTAATCTTTCTGTGCCTCAGTTGCCCATCTGTATAATGGAGTCAGTAGTATGACCTTACCTCGCAGTGAGGAGTTGTGAGGATACACATAACAAAGATTGTAAGGCGCTCAGATACTATGGTAATGGGAGCTAGCGCCAAGCACAATGGCTAGGTGATAATAAATAAATATTATTACTAACAGCAACAATATACAACTAAGTAGGTAAGTGACAGACACTCTTAAAACATGTTAAATAGCACCTTAATCAACAAAACAACCCACTGAACTCCAAAAGACCCCTTGTAGAGCGAGGTGCTACTCAAAATAAGTAACAGTATCAGAATCTGGTCCTTAGAAAATACAAGCTAGGAAACTCTTTGCTGGGTTGTACTTTTATCAGCACTACTGCCTTTTCCAGAGCTCTCTGAGCAAAGCCATCCGTGGAAGGCTGAATGGTTTCACAGAACTGCTTTATAGCTGCTTGAATCCAGAAGCTGAAAAAACACCAAATATCACGAGAAAAACCACCAAATATCGCGAGATTTCTGATAAAATGGTGTGAGTTGGCAACACTGTTAAAGAGTCTTTCTGCTGAATTGCTTCATACTTGCATTTGTCTGAGGGTGTTGTCTGTGCTAAACTGACCAAGATAGTTTTCCATCCCCGGCAATTTGTACTTAATCATTTTAACATGTCTGACTACAATCAAAACCAACGAAAACCACAACAGTGGAAACAAAGAATCAAGAAAAGAAAGAAATTAAACCCCAGGACGCACTATACAGGAAGAGTTAGATCATGCCTCCCCCTGTGTGACTGCACGGGGGCTGGGAAGAGAGGGTACAGTGAACTACTCCCCTGCACAAATGCTCTCACACTGATGCAGACAATACATCTCCAAGTCCTGGGGGGAGAGAAGGGGTAGGGATGACTAGAACTGCCTGCACTACTTACTAGTTCCAGAGGTGATTATGGACAGGGAATGGGCAGAGCCAGGCTCCACTCCCATGTGCATCAGGATGCAGTCAGGGCCAGACTAAGGTAATCCAGAGCCCTAGAGACACCCCCATGCCACCCGAGGAGGGAGAAATGGTGACGGCCAGATTGCTCCCCTCAGACAGTGGTGGGAGTGGCAGCAGGGTGCCTTTTCCTCCACTCAAGCAGTGGCAGGGCTCCTCACCTCAAAGAGGTGCTCTGGTGATGTTGATAGCACTAGTTGGCTTCCTCTCTGGCATTAGTGTCTGCTGCTGGTCTTCCCTGCACTGGAGGCTGTCTGCAGACTCAGACGTCTGCTGCACTCAGATTCTAAACAGCTTTGCAAATGAGAGGACCAGAAAAATACATTCTTTTTAAAAAGAGACCCTGAAAACTGCGGTGGTGACTTTATCACATGGCTTTTGCAGCTGTGGCCCTAAGGCACATGCCTGTTGTCTACAGGCCTTCATCCAGCCTTGGCTGGAGTGTTTGCTAATCATGTTAAAAGATGTAGCAAGACCTGTGCTGCACCATGCTTCTCCTCGTGCCCAGGAGGAGGCGGGATTATGTCTTCCAAAGAGGTAATCTCTCCTGACACCACCACTCAGTTGGAGACCTCAGACGTGCAGATGGCAGGAATAGGCCTTTGTTTTAGAATTTCTGTCTAGGTATTCCTTCGCCACAGTATCTGAGCATGTACAGCGGGGCAACGGGGGAAATCACTACATTACAAACATGAGGTCCAGTCCAGGTAGGGTGACCAGATCACACAGGTGAAATATCGGGACGCGGGACAAATAAGCAAATGTCAGGACAGTCCCGATAAAATCAGGACGTCTGGTCACCCTTAGTCCAGGTAATACCTTCATGATTGCTACCACTGAACTGTCCAGGAGGGCTATGCACTGAAGGATTGCAAAACAAGGCCCATACTTCGCTTGCTTTAAAAAACCTCTGAGTTCCGATATTGGAACCACTGCGCTGCCACCACCTAAATGATTATTGTCTACACCTCCTATCTGGACAAGCTGGTGCCGGAAATAAGGTTCTTTTATAAAACTTTGATATGCACATGAAAAATGATAAACACTATATTTAAACAATTATAATTGTCTGAGGTAAGTACACACCGATGTTACACAGAGAGAGGTAGCATACTTCACTGTAGCGAAATATGTAAAACCTGTGTATGGTCTGCATATTTAAATGTAGGGCCTCTAGAAAAATTAAGCAATGCTGTGTCCCTTGAGATGGATTTTGAAGGCAGCAGAGCAGCTATCAGAGCACACAGCCTTGAGGCTCTTCTCTCTCTTACTCTCTGCCTTAAAAAGGAGCTAGCTCAGCATTTAAAGATGAGATCTGTACCTTGAACTCCACCCCACCTGTAGACTGGCTATGTTAGGCTGGATTTTCAGTAGCATGTGTTTGTTTGTTGATAGGTAGTTGTCCACAGAGTGAACAATCTAGGTCATTTAGCTATGTTAAAATAGGTTTCCCCTCATGCCATGGGAAACAGGTAATTTTAGCAGAAACTTTCTGTAGCATCCTTTGTTACAGGGAACACCAGAGATCATATCATTAACATTCTTCAGCTCTCTGGAGCCGACCAGCCTCCGACCAGCAGCAGCACCACAACTAGCAAGAGAAGATAATGCTTTTGGATGCCAA